CAGAAAATGAGCGCCAACTAGTCAGAGATCACGTAATGTCTATACCTAGGGACGTAAGTCATTATTCCAGGCAAAAATTTGAAAAAGAGTACTTGAACTCTGATCTGAACATCCATAGATTGCATAGGGCTTTCCTTGAAAAATTTCTGGATTCACGTGTCACATACAAATATTATCGGCTTGTTTTTTTGAAAGATTTCCCGAACTTGTCATTTCACCGCCCTAGAGTTCATACTTGCAGAACTTGTGATAAATTAAATTGCGAAGTGCAAGCTCAAATTTCTAGTAGTAAGACAGCAAAAACTCAGCTTGAACTGCACCATAGGAAAGTTGAGAAATCTTTAGCTGCATTAAAAGAAGATACTATTGTCTCTCACAAAAACCAGGAAGTATACTTTCTTGCATAACGATGGATCTGCAACAAGTTTTGTTTGTGCCTACGTTAACCCATTCAGACATGTTCTACCTCAGCCAGTTATCTTGTTATAATTTCGGCATTCATCTAAGTGACAGCAACTCAGCATTCATGTGTATGTGGAACGAATCTGTAGGAGGAAGAGGTGGTAATAAAATTGCTTCCTGTTTGTTGAGAGTGTTGAATATGGGAATCACTGACAAAAAGTATATTACGATCTGGTGTGACAACTGTGCTGGCCAAAATAAAAACAGAATGGTCCTGTTCGTTATGATCTTTTTGGTCTCTACTGGCGTATTCGAAAGCATTGAGCAGAAATTTCTCGTAAGTGGACATAGCTTTATGGCCTGCGATCGTGATTTTGCACTCATAGAAAAAAGAAAGAGAACAATGAAGAGTATTGTACCGAATGATCTGCATAATGTTGTTCGTTCAGCGAAATATAGTCCTCCGTTTTCGGTTGTAAATATGGAAGAATTGGGATTTTTTGATATCCAGGCAGCAGCTGACAGCCTTATCAACACCAAAAGTCTTAACATCAGCAAAGCAGTTCATGTAAGAATAGATTCAAAGAAACTTGGAAACGTACTAACGAAAGAGACCTTTAGCGATTTCGAGCAGTGGAAGGAGACCTGTATTTTGAAAAAGGGTAAAAAGGCGTCAGTTGCTGCCACCTGAAAATAAAATCACAGAAAATAAGAAAAAATCCCTCAACTTAATGATAAACTTCCTAAAGAAGAAGGCGCATCAAGACTTCTACAGGAAGATTTTGAACATTGAATAAAATAAATAAGTGCTTAAATAAACATATTATATGGCCTTGTTTTATACTCTATTTTTTGTAATTTTTGAGAGAATATAAGTTTATTTTTTCAAAATTACACGTTTTTTATTTTAACGAGCTTAAATGAACAAAACATTAATGTTATATGGCTTTCTCTAATATTTTATTTTCCGGCACTTAGACCCTTTCTAAATTTTCGAGAGAAAATTTTTTGTTTTATATTTAATTTTCTTATTATTTTATTTTAACGACTGTTATCATATTACGCGTCTTTCAGTGCTTCTATAAGATAATGCTTACTTTGTCGCAAGCAGCATTCACAAGAATAAACTTGTTTCTTTCAATATAAACATTTTGTCATTTTGGCACTTAGCTTGTTTTGCGTTTCCACTCTTCAATTTACAAATACATTATAAAAATTGCGAAGTTTTTTGCAAAAAATAACTATAAATAATTTACATTTCCAGGTTAAAATTAAAACAAACGACCGCACTGTAAATACTGTATTAGATCTTTTCCTACACTGCATTTTAAAAATTGGGTCATGTTTGGATAGACCAGGGAAATATTTCGTAAAAGTTTTCTATTATAAAAGTTTATAATTTAAAACTTTCCATGAAATATTTCCTCATTCACGACGCATCACTGATTTTAATTAATTCACAAGTGTATAATAAAAAAAAATGCATCCAGCTTACGTCATCTTTATGTAGCCGATGTATAAATATTTTAACAGCTGTAATTGAACAACCGCAAAACTCCCAACTAGATTTGTTCAAGCTTTAATTTCGACTGGATAACTTCTGATTTTAGTCCTTAGATAACATTGTTCATCTAGGTATTTTGTGATAGGTATATAAAATAATATAGTCGTTTTAAAAAAGGCTTATAAGAAAGTATCATGGCATGTATTCAGGTAGGAAATTTAACTACGGGTATATACCTTACTATGAATTAAACAACTTATAATAGGAACATGCCCACAACAGATAGAGACCGCTGTCATTTAACGCGCATCAATTTATATCTGAAGATTGTAGTGTGGCGAGCAGAAGTGAAAGTCTTGTCTTTGCTCGCTAACATTCTTGGTACCTGAAGGTGTTGTGAACAGACTATGTATAAGATAGCTAAAATCATTAATACTCCTATGCTAATAAAATAACACGAAGCACTGGCAATGCGTCTATTTGTTAATTTTAGTCATGACCATCCCAGTAATTTGTTTATATATTATCGATTTAAAAAAATTGTTTCACCTAAAGGTACCATTTCGGTAGACGCGTCAGGAGACAGGAGACCACCGAGACGACCCTAAGGATGACAGATGCATGAATGTTACGCTCCGTACATTTGGGAAGCAAGGAGACAGGTAGCACGACACCCATTCGGGTGAACGATCTAGCGTTGCCAGACCTACTGTTTTTAAGTAGATCCACTGTTTTTGTCTCTAGCAAATTTTGTTCTTTATTTATTAAGTTTGCCTCATTCTTCAGCAAATGGTCAAAGAATATTTTCTCTAGTAATTCTGCTGAAGTAAAAGCAGCGTAATAAGCATCCACTACTGTAGGTTGTCTCCATAAAAAAAACACCAAAATAATCATTATGTTTTTATTTAAAATGAAACAAAGAATTAATACGGCATCATAAAAAGAACATGCGTGCCAAACACAACGATTTTGAATTATCTGATTCAGACTGAACTAAAAGAAGTAGGTACCTATTATTTTTCATTGTTTTTTTTTGTTTACGTACGATAAGTACATATTAAGAATGTTATTATTTGTTTTTATTCTTTGTTTACTTTCTGATTTGGGTAAAAAAATGTTTATTTTTCATTTCTTATATACTTGTTTTTTTTTATTTACTACACTGCAAATTATAATTAGTTCCCCCTGTATTAAAATCTACTGTTCAGATCTACGGTGCGACACGCAAAAAACGCTTTGCCCAAAGACCGATCCAAAGTATCGTCGAGAAGTGTCGTCAAGAAGTGTTGCACCGTGCGAAATGTGTCATATAATTGTATGTGTTTCAGACGTGAAGAGACCGTTATCGGTCGCGTCTGTTGTCGTCTGTCGCGTCGGTTGTCGTCTGTCGCGTCGGTTGTCGTCTGTCGCGCCTACCGAAATGGTACCTTAATGATTCCTGAAAAAAGGAGATATTTCCATTCGCCGGTTCGTTATGATTTATCTCTCTTTGCATTTTTACCTGATGACCTCATGGAGTCTAGACGTTCTCGATGTTTTAAAAACGTTTTGAAATAATGTTCACAATATTATTTATTTAAATGTTAATAGTTTGTGTGTTGTAAAATGTGCTTACAGTATAATAAAATTATCTTTATCTCACAAAATATGTATGTGCAAATCTTTTGACTCTTGGAAAAGGAATTAATATTTAATGATTTGTTAAGTCCCGCCTTCTCTTGATTCGGACCAATAATTTTGTTTCTAGTAGCTGTATCTTAGGCGGATTTTTTGCTTCATGTGGTGTTATTTTAGATGATACTACTACTCGCATTTGCAAGGCTAGCACCAAGAATATTTTGTTTAGATTTTTTTACTTCCGGTGCAACTGCGTTTTAAATAATAGTTACTCTATAAGAACTTGCGCTTGGATAGATATATTCAGTATTCATTTACGGTTAAAAATATGTATCCACCATCACCAAACCTACCCTCATGGTAAACTGCTGGCCTAACAACGATTTAAAATAAACAACAATATTGAAGAAGTCGAATTAGGGATTTTTTCGCAAATATTTTATATAAAAATGTAGTTCCAAATCGTTTAATTAAAAAAAAAAATATTGAAAATCTCTGTTAAACAATTTTATAGAATTCCAGAAAAATCGAATAATGCTCCAACAAGTGGATCAGGAATTTTTATTTTATTCTTTAATATAATAATAAAACACGATTATTGAAAAATCATGACCAACTTGTTAGAGAGCATTATTCGAATTTTCTGGAAGCCTCTGGAATTTTAACGAGGAAATTTCAATATTTTTTGTTTTAATGATTTTTTTTTATTTAGCCTATTTGAACGATCCTGAACACCTTTTCTTTATATATTTATGTTTTTTATGAAAAATCTCTAATACGACTTTTCAATATTGCCGTTTATTTTAATAGTTGCAGTTTGTCGTAAATGAAAGTAATATGCCCTAAAAGTACAATTTAGCGAGGGGCATAAATAGGTGAAAGAAATTATTTAATTCGATGAACAAAATACTGGGGTGATGCAGTCAAACAGAAATAGTTCAGCTGTATACCTACATACTCAAAGATGGCGACCGCAACAAAAATTTCTTCTTCTCCGACAATTGATAGTTATTCAACTAACATGTGATCCATACAAAATAATTCTAAAGTACTCCATGACCGATATAGACACAGATACGGCTCTGGTCGTGATAACTGGAGTCCTTTTAGAAAAATCGAACAGGCCGTCTGACCACATACATAAGAATAGGGTCCAGACGCTTCGTGCGAGGTTTCTAAACGCACTTCAGCATTCCTCTGAATTAATCTCATTTGAAAAAGACAAAGACGTGTTATTTTTTGCATAGCCTACTTTAGAAAAAAAAAAAAATAAAAAATGTTTGTGGATCACTCTAAACCATATTTATTCTGATTCCTCGTAATTTTCATAAAACGACTATATCATAATGATTTACTGATTCCCGGCGAATCCACCAAACATATTGTCACAAAGCATACGAAATTATTAATTTTACTAAAACGACAAGAGAAAAAACCTTTTAAACCTTTGATAACCTAAATATCTATAAAACCGTCGTCAAGAATACAGCGAGGAGCATGGGTTATGCATCGGTGGAAGGGCGTCTTCCAGAGGAAGGACATCTGCTCGTTTCCATTTGTCTCGTACCTCCTCGACCCTCTCGAACACCCTAAGCAAGTTTAAACCTGCTAGGGAGAGGACATCTTTCTCTGTCCATGCGGGATCGGCCAGCAACTCTGATAAAAGATATGGGTATTTGGAGACGTCTTCTAATCCACTGGGTGTCATGTTAATTCCATCATAACCTGAAATAGAAAAAAAAAAATGTTGCTATTCCTCCAAATGTACAAAATCAGAATTGCAATCTGCCCACGGCCTACATCTAGGTTTGTACATATGAAGATAAGACTGATGTGAAAATTATGAACCAATTAGGTATTTTCTATCCGTCAAAATGATTAGATTTTGAAATTTCAGGTAATTAAAACTCTCATGTTTACATATACATATTTTGCTTTAAGAATATAATTAGGCAAAGCAAATTACGTGAATTTAAATGGTGAACGATTGGAAAAAACAAAAAAATTAGTTTTTTAACATTTTTTACTACGATCACTGGCTTTTGCTTATTCAAATCTAACTGGACAGTTGACGTTATCCACGATTTTTCATAATTTGACATTATTGGTGAACTCGTATATCTAAGAGGATTGCGACATAGTATTTCATCTTGGACGCTATTTTTATTCAAAATAGTAGTCGCAAAGCCTGCCAATTTATGAAATATGTATATAGGCGGTTTTTTTTTAAATAATATTTTCATTGTGTGCAACATAAAATATTTAAATTTAATCCATTATTCGTATGTGGCAACCTTTTAAACATACCAAACCTTCTTACCGACAGTTCTTTTGTTTGGAATGCCTAATTAAAAATGATCACAATACGAGATTTTGTGCTTCAGAATTGACAGATTAACGAACAGCGGAGCCTACTTCAAATATGCGACATTTTTCTAAAAAAAATTATCATTATCAAAAATGGTGAATGCGCTAGTAGTAGGCGGTGTCGTATAAAATTACTTACTTCTCCCAAACCACTAATCTTATCAAACTGATACAAGAGTTACTTGTTCTTAGAAAAATGTTTGAGAGATTACATTAAGGCAAATAATAAATAAGTTGCTTTAATAATTAATATAAAGTGCCGTAAAATAAAAATAAATAAATGTTTTTTGATCAAACCGATGACAGATTACTGATCAGCAGAAGTTATACTCACGGGGGTTTATATCATATGCACAATTTGCCAACCCGTTTACTGCGCAGACCACCCGGCGCTTGGGTGCTCTGAAGTCCGTTTTACAATAACCAAATTGTATTAAAATGCAAAGCACACTGAATAATTTATTAACATCTCGCTCAGTAACACAAAAAAGTATAATTTCAACAATTTTAATTTATATATTAAACCAAATAAAAAATCATGCCTTCACTTAGTTATTTGTACAATGTTAACCTGTCTTTATGTCTGCTACATGCCTGCTGGCTCCCCCGTGTGCCCGCAGCCACGGTGACACGCTCGCGCTGTCAACAAAAAGTAAACAAAAAACAATATGGTTATGGTTGCCGACGAAAACATGTGAGTGAGAGTATTTTTATTTATTTTAGTTTTAGATGTTATTTAGGATTATTTAAAATTAAGTAAAGGTATTTTGATGCTTTAGCGAGTCTTTACCAGGGAAAATTCATTATAAATACATAATTTTCAAATCAAAGAAAGAAATGGTGCCACATTTTAAACATTCCACGTGAAACCAATCCTAAATTATGAGATAATTTTGATGCGAAATCGATTACAAACACAAATCGTTCAAGACTATGACTGCTAAGATTTGCTTTGCCTTTAGCACCCTCAAAACCAGACACTAAAGATAATAGGTCAAATGAATAAACGAAAAGCAAATGCTTTTACTTAAAATTGTTGAAATGGACTTATGCAGAATTAAAAAAAAACAAAACAGAACGCTACTAAAGTATAAGCATTTGCTACCTTTTATTCATCTGACTCACCTAGTAATGTTGTTATCACACCTCCAGATTACTGTGTTACATTTTAATAATATAGATCAAAATTTCAAAGACGCTCAGTCATCGAATGAATTTGAATCTTACATAAGAAACAAGGTTTTGATAATGGATTTTTAAATAAAATGAATAAAACACTAGTTAATAGTTTATCTATTAGAAAGAAAAAACCTAAGTTTTTTAATAGAAAACAGAAAAGTAAAATTTGCAAATTAAAAAAGGCCCTAAAAGTAATTCCTAATGTAACGTTTAAACTGCAGTCAAAATTTCAGAATCAAAGATATTTCAACAATTTAATTCAAAACTATTATAATGTAGGTTTGTTCAGGTTTCTTTAAAACTCGATGCAAACTGTCCGAGAACCAGTGAAACAGTTTAATTCCAAATTTTTTGTCGCATACAATTATTAAACTGTCTACTGGTCGACTAGCTGACCTGATAGTTCTCAATATAGTTTTGAAGAACCCGGACAGACTTATTATGAGGGCTGTGGCAATATTTTAAAGACCAAGAAGATAAACAAAATGATTGAAGTTACTGCATTTAATTTTTTTTCTTTTTCAGTTTATATGGATGGTTGCCTTTTATCTTATTTCCCAAGATTCAAGAATATTTTTTTTATTTAGAAAATTTATAAGGCATTAGTTTTTCAAATCAAGTACATGAATTATTTGGTTTGCAATTTCGGATTTTCATTATTTTAACCGGAGATAGTTAACGTACACCTAAATAATAATGTAATATTTGTTATATTAGAGTAACTTTCTTAAAGATAATAAATATTTGGAGATAATTTATAATACTAGAATTTGTTTTTAAGTCAAACTCATTAGATAATCTTTAGAGAATAACATTTTCGTGAAATTAGGAGTATTTTTTATAGAAACTAGTAAACATTTGTAAAAATAGATTGTACTTTGTATGAAAATAAACTAATATATACAAATAATGATGGTAGGTCGGGTTATCCGGGTTTTCCTCACCTGCAAATAAAATGGCTCTATCGGTTATTTTTAAGTTGGCCCAGAGTGCCATAGTAAATAATAATAACTATTCTTGCCACTCACAAGCTCCTCTTCTTGGGGTTTAACTTATGTAGGGTGAAGTGTAGGAAAATCTATTATTATTGTTGTATTGCCATTAATTTGATTTATTTTTCTTGGGAATTTTTAGTAAATATAATAATATAAAGCTTTGTATGGAATTTATTTTACACCTCATAATTATATGTCATAGAATTTTACATTTTTATTGGCATTTCATAATTCATAAAAAAAGCAACATTTTAATTATAATTAAGAGGAAAATTTACTTCAGCAATTATCTTTTTCTAACCAATACAAAATAGAGCCATGAATATTTCTATAGTTTATTTTATTTTTTTGTGAATGAAAAATATGTACCTTTGATTTAATTATTTTCCTAAAAATTAAGAAAATCTTTACGCAAACAAAATTTTGCTATTTTTTGCCATCAAAATTTGGCCAAATTTTGAAAAAGTGGCTTCAGAGGAACATATTTAACGTTTACCTACACGAAGAAAACGATCTGAAATTTTGTATGGTTATATTTCGTATTAGATAGAAAATAATAATTTCTAAAGTAAATTCTCCTTTTAGTAGAAAAGAATCCCGCCAATTTTCAAATTAAATATATTACGGGCAACTACATTACCGACAGAGTAATAGCCTAGTTAATAATACAGGTAACTACGTTACCGACAGAGTAGGAATAGTTCAACCACCCGCACCCACAGGTCGCTGCAAGCAAACTTGTTGCCAAATTTCTACAAAGACACGGCAACTCTTAATAATCCTTCCTCCATGGTTATACTGTATAGGTCTCTGTCAATTTCATCAATTTTTACAAAAATGAAAAATTATTAAGTATTGGTGTGTGGTCCTTTCTCTTGTTTGGCACCATCCGTAGGATCTACTTTCAAATGCTTTAAAAATTTCTTTGATAAGTCTTAATTTTTCAGTGGCGAATAGAGCAAGGATCTATTAATTTTTAATTAGTAGTCATATCAATATCAAATTTCTTTCTGTTGTGACAGAGGTCCTCTGGAACAAAAGGATAAATATGCATTTTCCAAAATTAATCGAAATGCTATTGTTAAAAATGAACTCTAAGATATTTCCTGTTTTATTGACATTTGGGTTATATTGATACATACCAGCCATATATGCAACTACTAGGTAATTAACTTAAACAAGGATTATTTTATTTATTTGTTGTTCAAATGAGTCTGTGACGTGTGATGTTATGTATTCTTCGAATTTCATGCAGTGAGAGCGTATAGGTTGGAATAAATTCGATATTTTTCAGTATTTTAACAAAATGCTTTCACAGATCAATTTTTATTTTCAACTGCACGTCTCTCGCTACAAACGGAGGCACTAAAGACGTTATCACTTTCGTATACATGATGTCATCGATTTGTTTTACATAAAACAACATATTTTTCTCTTTAATTTTGAATTCCCCAATAATAGACGATTACAAAAATGTATATAATAGTCCAAAGTCATTGGTTTGTGAATTAGAGACAAATGTATATCAGAAATTTTGAATTTAAAATTTTATTGAAAATATTGAACTAATAAACATGGTAGGTTTTTATTATTATCGTTCTCTCTGAGTTTTTTTTAACACGTTAACTGCCATATGCATTAAATATGATTCATACGGCCTTGAGCCCAATGGGCCGTGCGAATTATATTTAATTCTAAAATGTTCTTGCTTTGTAGGCCGCGTGCATAGTAGGATATGCACGCGATCGTGGCCAGCATAAGGGATCTTTAAAAGTGGGGCCTGGGAAGCGAAAATCTGTTGATGGCCTACAAATTTTTTGTTGTTTAGAAATATGGCCATACTTTTTAAATTTATGTAAAAATAATTTAAAAAACCAATTAATTAAACAAGTATTTATTGTTTAAATGATTATTTATTTGTTTCTGTGCTTAAAATAAATGGCTATTTATAATATAAAAATAAACTAAAATATATATGTAAGTACATTGGTCCAAAAAATAATGACAGACTAAATGTGATAACGGGAATTATAGTACAAAACTAAAAGCAAAAGCTACAAATCTAGTAGATTTATTCCTAAGAAAGGAACATTCAATACAATATAACGTGTCGCATTTTTCGTACTTGTATGGAGTTTTCTGTTAAATTCAGGTTTCAGCTTTTCATAACATGCAACACATCTTTTCCTCTGTGATCCTATATTTTTCAAACCGCATTCTCTGGTTGTAGCTGTATTATCTTCTCTTGTTTCTTTACCCAAAAGACCCATTTTTAATTCTTCTTTGAATTTTGTAATACTTATATGTTCTCCTATTATTTTTTTATAAATAATGTAAGCATTGACAAGTGCTGTACCTGTAATCAACTCGATTGCTAATTTTGTATACCATTTTACCCCACTTCTTAGTGCAGCTAAATAGGCTTTCATTTGATCTGAGATGTCAATAAATCCCTTGCTGTTGTTATAGTCTAGGATTATTTAAGTGTTTTGACAATTTTATTATTTTCAGTTTCTACATCAACCATACTATCATCGTCCATTATGCTCAACATGAGAACATCGCATACCTTTAGAGTGGGAGGTCAATGCTATCAAAATTATGAATGAATTAAATACAATGCACGTGGCTCCGAAGCTGTCATTTTGCTTCTGAGGCCGCGTGAATTATATATGGTTCACGGGAGTAACTTCAACCCCTAAGACTATTTTGTGTTTTTTTTTGTCACAAAATGTGTTCTTGCACTTTAATATAACCTGAAAATAAACAATTTTTTTGGTGGCCCCTTAGATACGTTCTTTTTACTCTAGTGCGGCAGTTAACATGTTAAACTAATGTTTATTAGTTCAGTCCTTTCAATAAAATGTTAGATTCAACATATCTGATATAACATTTGCCTCTAATTCACAAACCAATGACTTTGGACTATTCGTATAAATATTGTCTATCGTCTATTATTGGGAATTCAAAAATCAAGAGACAAATATGTCCTATTTAAAAAAGTGGTGACGTTATTAGTAAATACAATTGTAGCGTAAGACGGATAGTTGAAAATAAAAATTGACCTGTAAAAGTATTTTGTTAATATACTGTTAAGACAGAAAAATGTCGACTTTATTCCAACCTGTACGTCCTCTCACTGTATAAGTTAAAATCCTCACAAATGACAAAAGTGGCGGTAATATTATCTAGAAAGATACCGATTGACATAAAACAAAAAGAAATTTAGTTAGGCCATATTTTATTATTTTTTTCTATTTTTAATAATACTTTTCAGATCTAATACCAATTGTTCACGTCGACTTTCCCTTTATAGTATCTTAGAAATGAAAAAATAAGCTCGAAATCAAAACGTTCATATCAATTACAGAAAAAATATACTTTACCTGCTCCAATGCCAACATGATCGATTCCTGCAACAGCTCGTATGTGATTTATATGATTAATAACGTCTTGTATAGTGGCAGTTTCGTTACAAGTGACGTGGTAAGTGTAAAAATTCACCATGATCACTCCGCCGTTGTGCGCGACGAGTTTCAGGACGTCGTCCGGGACATTACGGGACGAATTGCACAAGGAGAAGGCGCTTGAATGGGAGAAAATAACAGGCGCTCGCGAGACGTTCAGAGCCGCCTTGGCAGTGTTCATAGAAGTATGGGAGAGATCCACTATCATCCCCAGACGGTTCATTTCCTTTATGACGCTCTTGCCGAAGTCCGAAAGACCGTCTTGGGTCTTCGTGTTGGTCCCTGTAGCCCAAGGGGTGTCGCAGGAATGGGTTATAGTTAGATATCTGGAAAAAATAGCGGCGTTAGTTTAACTACATAACGGTTATTGCGATAGAAAGTATTAATATTACATAGGGCCGTGTACGTGTGGAGATTTTGGTCATCGAAATGTTTTTTCTACAACTACCTACATTTCAAAACACGCTTTTCTGCACAGTTTTACGTTCGAAAACTTGATCATTTCTCACGATTATTGAAATATGACATAAGCGTGCCGGAAAATTATATTTCTGTACCATATAGTATATTGTTTGGGTATAATACGCTTCTACCAATTTTTAAGTAGTTTTTATTAGCGATGCCGCGAGACAAGACGAGACAAGAGAGTGGCCTCTCTCGTCTCGTCTCACAGGGCGAGAGAAAACTGTTCTCTCGTCCCGACGAGAAGGCGCATCTCTCGCTCGAGAGAGCCTTTCTCTCGTCTTGTCTCGTCTCGTTTCTCTCGTGTAAAACAATATCAAATTTAAATTTGAAAAAGACGAAACATGAAAAAACGGTAAAATTTGTAAGACAAAAACAAAGAATTTTTCAAATAATTTGCGCATTAGTACCCAAATTTGGCAATAAGAAACACTTATGTCTCTCTGTCTGTCACAGTCGTTTTACAATTGAAATTTGAAGTAATAAGTGGCCCAGATTAGGCGTTAACTCAAAACGAAAATACTTTGTCTTGTAAGTCAGTTGGGGAGGTGGAGGAAGAGGTTAAATTAGAAGTTAGAATTTTTCTAATGCAATCCTTCGATGTCAAATGAAAGCATTTTGTAGTATGTTTTCAAAATGCAAGGAGATAGACACATAAAACAAAAACGATGTGAAATTAGAGAAACATTATGATATTTTTGTTATAATGAGATGCACTTTACTTGAGACGTAAAATAGAGGGCGTCACTATCTTTAAATTTTCTAATGGAAAGTAAAGTCATGTAAAACCTCATTTGAAAGATATTTTGATTATATTTACGTCCAAGCAAACAGTTTAAATTTTTTTTTGTTTTAAAAAAAAATACATTCTTGATAATCCTTGTGTGCCGCAATAATCCTAGAAATGTTAGATAATGTCAGAAGATAATTTTTAATAAGCTTTTTTGCTAAGAAGTTATGCAAAATTTAATACGTCAAGTGGTTTTTAATCACCTTTGATATTCTTAATTTATTTATTTTAGTAAATACAAGAAGCGTTTCCTTAGTAATAAACAATAATTGTTAATACGAGTGTTATCAAGAGTGTAACTTATTAGTAAAGGCCCAGAACTTGTCTGTATAAGAACAAAGAACCAGCTACAAAAAATTGCCATTTGTGCAGTAAAAATGACTTAAATTTATAAAAGATACTGATATTTACTCTGTACTAGCCAAAATGTTAATTATCCATTGTATACTATTGTACAAAATAGCATTTATAAGGTATTATACCTCTGGTAATGATCCTTTGAGGTTGAAGCGGTAAATAAAAAAAAATAATTTAACCTACTTTATGTATTTATTTAATGTAATTTCTGTAAAAACATAAAACCTAAATCTGTTTACATAAACGTAAAAATATAGAAAATATCTTTCAAACGAGGTATCACATGACCCTACTTTCCATTAGAAAATTAAAAGTTAGTAACTCCCTCTATCTTACGTGTCTCAAGTAAAGTGCATCTCGTTATAACAAAAATATAATATTTCTTAAGTTTTACCTCGTTTTTGTTTTGTCATTATCTTTTTTCATTTAAAAGTTAAAATAGAGGAGGGTACAATTTTCGTCCTTACTGTATATATAATACATTCGTGTGTATTACCTTTTCTTTGACAGTTTTTCGAAAAAACGCTTAAAAAACTTATCTTCAAAAGTAACCTAGGAAAAGCAGAATGGATTAAATATAAGAGATTGTATAAATTTTAAATAAATAAAATGAGAATTATTTTTTTTTATAAATCACTATTTATAAAATCCTAATAACACAAGTATCATTTGTTACCATTTAATATATATATAGAATAGGTGTGTTATAGTTAACTTTTTGACTATCTCGAAATCTAATTTGTTAAAATTTTAAGTTACGATAAGCAATTTAAAATTTCACATAAGCAGAGAGAAAATTGTTCAAGAGATCCCGAGAGAGCTCGAGAGAAACGAGAAATTCTCGTCGAGAGATGACACTCTATCGTCTCGAATCTGTTTTCGAGACGAGACAAGAGACGAGAATCTCTCGTCTCGCGGCATCACTAGTTTTTATAATTTATAAAATTAAAATATCAGCTCTCTTCTAGATAATTGTTTAATGTTTGACATTTCATGGTAAACCTATGTAATGAAGACATTATTAAATATCATTTTAGAATGCATTAAACTTCGCAAACAAAGAATGTTCGATCTGAAAGATATTAAATCTACGAATCCCCTAAATTTTCAGTTTTGCTTTAAACTACCGCAGATCGCTATGTCCTCAAAAAAACCTGCGCGCGTTTGACCGAAAAGTTTTCATTTTTGGCCATAGGTACTGAAACAGATTATCAGAGGGAAGAAACTCGTATAGGGCAAAGCGTTTTCAATCCACCCGCTCCACTGGCGGCGCTGTGGGTGTGCAATGACAGGTGAATTTTGACTATTGTTTACAGGGTGTCATGGCGAAACCGAAAAGGAATCCTAACAATATTGTGAATTTATTGATATTGTTAACTTGGTTGCATTCATTTGTGTTTTCAATTTGTTTAATTGATCTAGTTATTATAAATTTATGGTATTTCCTTGGAAGTGTATCGGATTACTTTAGAAATCGAATAGTAATCTGGTTACAGCTTCTGTGTCTTCAACAAAACTAAAAGTTTGGACAAAAAATATCCAGCGGAAGAAATTATGATGATTTAGACATTGGATATGTTGATCAAAATAACTAGTTACATCTTGTGTTTTTAAGTAAAATGTTCTATTACTGGTAGGTTTTGAAAATTTTTGTATTAATGCAAATAGTTTCTTAAACTGTGATCCACGGAACTCCAAGGGTTCCGCGAAACTTACGTGTTTTTTTCATAACATTCAAGAAAGCAAGTAAAACAAAATACTAATCTGGATATAAATATTTGAAATATAAGTCATTTTTGTTTGCAATTTAGTAATAAAATGATTTAGTTATAGAATGTTACAATAAAACCATCCCATTGAAACAAAATGGGATCAATAAAGCATGTTCCATTATTTATCAAAAAGACTAAGACATTTTTAATACCTACTTGAGTACTGCTTATAATGTTTCAGTGTCCCTTTGGTACAAATTTCTTATTTATCAAGGTAAAAGTAAAATTTTTACTAAACCCGACGTTTAAATTTTGATTTTGTTTTTATTTATTTTATTTATTTACGATGGTAGTTAAGAATACGGGGAACCATTGATGATTTTTTTTTAAATCAAATCGATATAATTTAGTGGCGGATTCTCTGTAAGGGATGTATGGCCTCTTGTTCCAACCATAATCTGATAGGTCGTCCCTGACGTTCAACCTGATGTTGCTGGCCGACAGGGGTAAAAATTGTAGCTCCCTGAATTTATTTATTGAAGTGGCAAGATCGTAATACGTCGCTCGCGCTTTAGGTCTCAGAAACGGAATTTTTATATCCAAGAGGCATACGAAAATTTTAGCCTTGCTCCGGTGTAGATAGTATGTTTATTATGTTATCATGTTACGAACAAAATTGAAAACGCGTACCTACTAATAATAACAATGTAATTCATGATACTGTAATATATTTGATTTGATTTCAACAAATACATTTAACAAAAATAAGTGTTCTGCCATTATCTTGTTTTGGCAGAAACACTATTAGGAATCGAACTAAATATATTTAGCAAAAATAAGTTAAATGTCTCTTATCTGGTTTTGGTAGTCACACTATTAGCAATTGAACACAATGGTACGATTATGTTTCGGTATAATGTATAATGTCTCTTCTTTGTGCATATTGTGAATATATTAATATGGAGATAGTTTTTATTGGCAATCTTTTTATCACAAAAATATAGACTTCGTTCTACTTGTCTTGTTTCAACGGTATATTATTTGAATTATTTTGGAGACGAAAGTGACCTTAAGTGGAGTTATCTTGTTTTTGCCGTATACCCATAATCCAAACTTAGTGTGATATTTACAGCCGTATGCATAGTCGATCGCCAGCGACTCGCCAGAGATTCATTTCGGCGTATCGCCAGCGATTCGCTGGCGATCCGCCGGCGAAAGCCCAAAAAGCTGGCGACTCGCCGGAGATTGTCACTGGAATGTCATTTCACGCAAGTTTTTTTTATCTTTTATAGGGATTATCACCGGTATCTCTCGCATTTTATTCATGATTCATTTCTTAAAACTCAAAAAATAATGAACGAATATCAAATTTTTTCCTATAAAAGAACATGAAAACTTGCGTGAAATGACATTCCGGTGATAATCTCCGGCGAGTCGCCAGCTTTTTGGGCTTTCGCTGGCGGATCGCCAGTGAATGGCTGGCGATACGCCGAAATGAATCTCTGGCGAGTCGCTGGCGATCGACTATGCATACGGCTGTTAGCGCAGTGGCCGATGAATTTTTTCATTTCGCATAATATTTAAAAAAAAAAGAAATCTTTAGTTTTAAAAAGCACCTTCTTAATAGTGTTTCGGGCTGAAAAAAAGCTCTTGGAGGGCCACAGGCGGCCCGCAGGTTGAGTATAGCTTCTCTAGATGAAAGAAGCGTAATGGTTGTGGTTGTTTTTGGGTGAAATTTGAGGACAATAATTATATTTTGTAATATTACAATAAGTCGGAGCACGTATTGCATTAGTAATACATGTCACATGAATAAATTTAACAACCCCAATGTGGTGTTATTTAATTTACCAAAGTAAGATCTAGCCATGTAAGTAACACAAACAGTAGCCAACTTTTGTCACAAAGTAGGTATTTATTTATTATTATTTATTGTTCTAGAATAAGAAAATGGTTTCAGAACGTTAAAGAGAAGATTTGATATAGGAAGAAAAATATCTGAATT